CCATGCAATCCTATCAAAGGCCTTTTCTGCATCCAAAGAAAGAAAAAAATCCAGGAGTGTTAGATTTACGAAGCCAATGGTGGAGATTAAGGGCCTTAATGGTGTTGTCCCTTGCTTCTCTACCAGGGATAAAAACCCACCTGATCTAAGTTGATCAGGGCGGGAAGCAAGGGGAGGAGCCGGTTAGCAAGAATTTTCGCAAACAATTTGATGTCAACATTCAGCAGGGAAATAGGTCTGTAATTGGGAACCAGAGTATCGTCCTTACTGCTTTTGGGGATAACCGTATTGTAAGCCTCTAAAAGTCGGGAATGTGACTGGGGAGACTGAGAGAGAGTATTGAAAGCGGAAAGAAAGGGGGGGGGGGCACCTAGGATGTCTAGGAAGGATTTATAATATGCTACTGAAAAACCCGTCAGGACCCGGGCTCTTACCAGGTTTCATCTGCTTTACAGCGCACTGTAGCTCATTCAGGGTCAGATCTTTTTCCAAAAAGTGAGCCTGTTCCTCAGAGAGAGCAGCTGGGCTATAAAGATGAAGGAATTCAGAGATCAGGGAAGCTTTGGATTTGTCGGTCTGCAGAGGGGGACATTCAGGAGGGAGATTATATAAGGATTTATAAAACTGTTCGAAATGGGAGGCAATGTCGGGGTTGGATGTAGCCACCGTGCCGTCGGGGCCTCTGATTTTATGTACCGTCATGCTGGAGAGCTCTAGCTAGAAACTTCCCGCTCTTATTTGCGAATTCATAGTACAAATTTTGTGAAAGAATGTATCTTTTTTTGACCACCTTATCCAATTCAGTAATTTTATTTAATTCCCTGCAATCAACACAGCTCTCATCGATATATTGGCGCCGAGCTTCAAGTTCTAGTTTAGAGAGGGGAAAGATGCGCTCAAAAGATATTTCAGCTCCTGGCAGCAGTTCAATTGGACAATCATAAGGCTTATGGAGTGGCAAGATATCAGCCTTCTTTTTATCAAAGACATCCAGGAACTCGTGGTATGCTGGAGAAACAAGCTGTGATACAGAATGATTAGAGTGCAGGCCAAGGACAGGACAGGCATAGGTTTAATGGACTTTGACTGGAAAAAATGCTATTGACAGTAAGTAGAATGAAATGTCACTTCTCCTGATCCCCCAGTTTATCTGTGTGTTGTGCACTTGTAACCAGGGAATGCCAATGATAGGGAACAGGGGAGATGGGATAATGTCCAAGCACAAATATCAGTATCAGATGAAGTCAGTAGCAGGCAAGTCTCTTGAGTTATTGATCCAGACTTAAGTTGAGATCCGTCGGCAAAATAGATGAACAATTGATGGATCTTAGGGGATCTGCAGCTGCTAAGCAAAATTGGTATCCATAAAGCAGCTGCAGGCCCCAGAGTCAATAATAGCTGGAACCTAGGTGTTCTTTCCGGACATCTGTAGCAAGACGGATAAGGTAATGTGAGCAGACTTATTTCCAACAGAACAATTAGCAAAACACATAGAGAGAGCAGGCTTAAACTTACTAGGCCTCACAGGACAGTCTTGGAGGTAGTGTCCTGCCTCCCCACAGTAAAAGCACAGGTTATTCCAGTGTCTACACAGTCTCTCCTTACTAGTGAGCGGTGAATGTATAACTGCCGGTTGCACTGTTTCTGCATCAGGGCATCGGTACATTGGCAGGTGAAGGACGTACAGGAGCTGAAGACACCCATGACAATATTTAGGTAGGTCTGGTGGTACTAGATCTCTTTGCTCGTCTTTCCTGGAGTCTTTAATCAAGTTGGATAATGAGGCTAATTAGGCCATCGGGAGAACAGGGAACCCTCAGTCTAACAAGTTCATCTTTAAGGCCTTCAGATAGGCCCAATCAGAATTGACGCTGTAGGGCTGCATCATTCCAGCAAGTGTCAGAGCTCCACTTGCAGAATTCTACGACATAATCTTTGACAGGCCAACAACCTTGCTGGAGAGCATGTAGGGTCGATTCAGCGGTTGAAGATCGCTGAGGATCATCATAGAGCTGAGCCATAGCTTCAAAGAAAGACTTGATAGTGTTCAAGAATGGACTGTTCTGCTCCGGAAGGCGATGGGCCCAGGACTGTGGCTCTCTGAGAAGCAGTGAAATGGTAAACCCTAGATATGTGCAGTTAGTTTTATTCCCAATAGAAATTCGGACAAATGTTTTGTTATACGGAGATCTGGATATATCCAAATTCCGAATTACAATAGTAACAAATTTAAATGAATCTGAAATACAAAATGAAATTAAGCGGAAATTTTAATTAATTCCAATTCGATAACACATTCGAAAACAAATTCAAATTCGAAAACAAATTTGAAAACCAATTTGAATTTGAAAACAAGAATAGAATGAAATAGAACAGAAAATAAAGAAATAGAAAATACAATAGAATAGAAAAGAATAGAGGAAAAAAGAACAGAATAGAAAATAAAAGAATAGAAAAGAATACAGTAAAAAATAATTGAGTAAAACAGAACAAAATAGAATAGAAAATAAAGGAATAGAAAACAATGGATTCCATTAAAATATAATAGAAAAGATAAGAATAGAAAATCAAAGAGTAGTATAGAAAAGAATAGAAAATATTAGAATTGAAAATCAAAGACTAGAATAGAAAAGAATAGAGTCAATTAGAATAGAACAGAAAAGATTAGAATAGAAAATCAACTAATAAAATTGAAAATAATGGAGTAAAACAGAGCAAAATAGAACAGAAAATAAAGGAAGAGAATAGAATCAATTAGAATAGAATAGATTAGAATAGAAGAGAAAATCAAAGAATAGAATAGAAAAGAATAGAAAAGATTAGAATAGACAATCAAAGAATAGAATAGACTGAGGTAGTATAGAAAAACAATAGAATATTATAAAATATAATATAACTGCCTTCCAATATTGAAAAGAATGCATTTGAATTCAAACTGAATACATTAGAATAGAATATAAAATAGAAACAAATTGAATAGTTTAGAAAATATTAAAATACTTTTACAAAAAGTTGTAAGCTGCTCTGTGGCGACATAAAATAGTGATCAACAAAGGCACTGTGAAAATTTTGCTGAAACAGAAATTTCCAATATGGTTACATAACTCTTAATATAGCCCATATACCATCAAAAACACATGGATTGTGGATTATGGATTGTAATTTTAGAATTATTATTGAATCCATTAGAATTGTTTCCAAATCCGTTGGAATTATTTTTATATTAGAATCACCTGAGAACCATTCTGGAGTTGGCACTCGGGGTTCTGGTGGTGGTATGATCACAGTAGGTGCGGCTGTAGTTCATTTAGACATGGAGGGTTCAAGATCTGCAACAGGTGCAGAAGTTGCAGAGGAGGCGGCCATGGACTGGATGCAACATTCCAGCTGGAAATAACCCTCCTAAAGATTGTTGACTGCTTGAGTAAGGAAGGCGATTTTCTAGCAAAGTGCCTCCAGCAGGCCACTGGTATGAATGTCTCTGACCAAACAATCAGAAACAGACTTCATGAGGGTGGCCCGAAGGCCCGGCGTCCTCTAGTGGGCCCTGTGCTCACTGCTTGGCACCATAGAGCTCGACTGGCATTTGTCAATGAACACCAGAATTGGTAGGTCCATTACTGGTGCCCTGTGCTTTTCACAGACGAGAGCAGGTTCACCCGAGCATGTGACAGATGTGAAAGGGTCTGGAGGAGCCAGAAGCCATGGAGAACGCTATGCTGCCTGTAACATTGTTCAGCATGACCGTTTTGGTGGTGGGTCAGTGATGGTCTGGGGAGGCATATCCATGGAGGGACACACAGACCTCTACAGGCTAGACAATGGCACCCTGACTGCCATTAGGTATCGGGATAAAATCCTTGGACATGTTGTCAGACCCTAAGCTGGTGCAATGCCCCGGCCTCATGTAGCGAGAGAATGCAGGCAGTTCCTGGAGGATGAAGGAATTGATACCATTGAATAGCCTACACACTTGCCTGACCTAAATCCAATAGAATACCTCTGGGGTATCATGTTTCGGTCCATCTGACGCTGCCAGGTTGCACCTTAGACTGTCCAGGAGCTCAGTGATGCCCTGATCCAGATCTGGGAGGAAATACCCCAGGACTCCGTCTGTGGTCTCATTAGGACCATGACCTGACGTTGTCAGGCATGCATACATGCACGTGGGGGCCATACAAACTACTTAGTACCATTCTTAGTTGCTGCAATGAAATTTCAGCAAAATGGACTGGCCTGCTGCATCATTTTTTCACTTTAATTTTTGGGGTGTCTTTGAATTCAGTCCTCTGTAGGTTGATAATTTTCATTTCCATCAAACAATGAGGCTTCCTTACGTTCCTAATACATTACCCAGTCCATATCAGTATAGGTATCCAGCATGATATTTTTCCCCATTGACATCTGATGTGTTTTCAAAGTGTTTCAAAGTATATATACTGTATTATATATACACTATATTGCCAAAAGTATTGGGACGCCTGCCTTTACAAGCAAATTAACTTTAATAGCATCCCAGTCTTAGTTCATAGGGTTCAACATTGAATATGCCAACCCTTTGCAGCTATAACAGCTTCAACTCTCCTGGGAAGGCTGTCCATAAGGTTTAGGAGTGTGTCTATGGGATTGTTTGACCATTCTTCCAGAAACACATTTGTGAGGTCAGGCACTAATGTCGGACGAGAAGGCCTGACTCGCAGTCTCCACTCTAATTAATCCCAAAGGTGTTCTATTGGGTTGAGGTTGACATTCCAGTCAAGTTCCTCCACCCCAAACCTGCTCATCTATGTCTTTATGAACCTTGCTTTGTGCACTGATGCTCAGTCATGTTGGATCAGGAAGAGGCCATCCCCAAACTGTTCCCACGAAGTTGGGAGCATGAAATTGTCCAAAATGTCTTGGTATGCTGACACCTTAAGAGTTCCCTTTATTGGAACTAATGGAACTAAGAACCAAGCCAACCCCTGAAAAACAATCCCACACCATAATCCCCCTCCACCAAACTTTACACTTGGCACAATGCATTCAGGCAAGTACCTTTCTCCTGGCAACCGCCGAACCCAGACACGTCCATCAGATGAAGACGTGATTCATCACTCCAGAGAACACATCTCCACTGCTCTAGAGTCCAGTGGCAGCGTGCTTTATACCACTGCATCTGATGCTTTGCATTGCACTTGGTGATGTAAGGCTTGGATGCAATTGCTTGGCCATGGAAACCCATTCTATGAAGCTCTCTACACACACTGTTGTTGTGATAATCTGAAGGTCACACGCAATTTGGAGGTCCTTAGCTATTGACTCTGCAGACAGTTGGTGACTACTGTGCACTGTGAGCTTCAGCATGCGCTGACCCCGCTGTTATTTTACGTGGCCTACTACTTCATGGCTGAGCTGCTATTGTTCCCAGTTGCTTCCAACTTGTTATAATAATACTAACAATTGACCATGGAATATTTAGTAGCAAGGAAATTTCACGGATAGACTTATTGCACAGGTGGAAACCTATCACGGTACCACGCTTGAATTCACTGAGCTCCTGAGAGCGATCCATTCTTTCACAAATGTTTGTGAAGCAGTCTGCAAGCCTAGGTGCTTGATTTTATACACCTGTGGCCATGGAGGTGATTGGAACACCTGAATCCAATGATTTGGAGGGGTGTCCCCAATACTTTGGCAATATAGTGTGTATATATATATATATATATATATATATATATATATATATATAAATTTCTTGTCCATAGGAGCTAATATCATGGTAAACGAATACTAACTAGATGAAAGATAATCATGAAATAATAAATAGTAATAAGAATGTTTAAAGCATGTAAATAATATGTAGAATACATAAAAGACAAACAAACATAACAAAATACTAATTGTAGATGATGAAAAATATTGTATAAAATACTGTAGCTGATAAGTAATGTATAAAATATATTTACATTGTGAAATGATGAATGTCAGTAAAAGCAAATTGTATGGTTCAAAGATAGAGGGTAGAACTGACCTGTTTAAAATAAACTTTGAAGAGCGGTCATGATCAGATAAGAATAATTAGATGCTGTGAGAGATACATTAATTAATATTAAATCAAAATTAAAATTGAAATCTAAAACCAATAGGAATCAATAAAAGATCCGAATGGGATCCCCATTTCTAATAAGGAGAGTTGTGACACGGCTCCAAACAGCACCAGCTACACAAACAATTGCTGATTTACACTGTATAGGCCACAGCACCCATGTGCAGGATTCCCAGGACCTCATTTACACACAGTCTTTATAAAATCAGTACAGGTTTATGTCTTAGATGTAAAAGGAATTTTGGAAGTTATGTTGTGTTTGTATCAATCACTAATGATTGACTTCTAAAGGCAGCCCTGTCTGCAGTCTCAGGGAGGAGCACATAGGGCACATCTGCACGTAAAGACCAGTCACATGCTGGGGATGTGGAGTGCTGTATATCATAGAATGGAGAAAACACCGAGGTAGCAAAACTCTGTAGGGAAGGAGAGGAAGGCAGGAAGGTGCTTCTAAGTGCAAAATTTCCAGCTATTTATTCAGAAGTAAACTGTTAAAACACTGACAAGATTGTAGATAAGGTAAGGCTCATCATGAATATTCCTGTGCAGGACTCCTGCAGGGGGAGCTGAGAGCGCAATGCCAGGATTGCCACCGCTCTTCTGTGAAAGCCATGGAACACATGCCATCCGCGTGGAATGCACGGACCAGAAGTGACATCAGGAGGGGCGGTGACACATTTCGGAGCATGCGCAAATTGCTCCTGCATTAAGACCTAGCCTCGGGGAAACAGAGCCATATTACATAGCAGGAGAGGGTGAGGAGAAGGTGGTAACAAGGATACAGGTCCACCCAAACTTTAACAAGACCGGTAAGGGGATTCAAACCAGCACATTTCATAATAACAATATGGCACATTAAGGATAAAAATATGGGCTGATAACTAAATTAGCGCATTAGTGGCACATGTGATAACTAGATGAATGTTGCTAACACAACAGCGATACTGGGAATAAGAAAAGTACAGTGACAGTGGCCATGCTGGATAGTGGCACAGTAGCGCATTGTGGCAATATACTGTATAAGGATTAGTGTCAGCAGCAAGAAGAATTAATAAATACATATAAAATAATAATAATATAATTGTATTAATAATAATATTAATAATAATAATAGGAATAATAATGTTATACACCAATAAAAATGTTATGCACTAATGAAAAGCATAAGTACAAGTAATGAAACATTGGTATAGAGCCATAATTGAAGAGAATAAATTGCAATATATAAAAAAGAAAAGGCAGCCTGTAGTACTATAATAGTAATGTGGCAACCTGTCATTATGTAATACTACTTCAATGCCAGTTTCAATTATGACATACTGGTATGTTAAGGCAGATACCATAAAAATAAAGAATCATGATGGGCTTAGACTGTGTTAGGAGACTTGCTGATTGTAGCTAGTTGTCTATTATAAAACAAGGGATTATATGTATTCGCATAGTAACAATCATAAGTGGGCATTGTAATGTGGGGGGAAAGAGGGAAGAGACCTCAGTTATTGGGGATATCAAAAATGTAGCACAGTGATATCTATGCATATTTGCTATATATGAATTATTCACTTCCTGTTTGTTGTTTAGGTACAGTATGTAAAGCCTGGGGAAAAAAAGGGGAAGAGGGGATGGGAAAACAGATAAATAGTTTATATACCACAACAATAGAGCCATATTAGCTACTATATTATGGTGCTAACCTCTAGTTCTGCATAGATATAGGGATTAGGGAATGTGTCCTCAGTCCCTTTATCTGTCTCAAAATTGAGACATTGGGGTTCTATTATTTCACCAAGTCTCCCCCCCCCCAACAGGGCTGTTAAAAAATAAAATACATTTGTAAAAAAATAATTTAAAAAAAATTTATATTTCAACCAGCTGTGTACTTTTGCTTAAACCCATGACCCGTCTGCGTAACGGAATGCTACATGATGTGTCTATGTTCGGACTGTGATCCGTATTTGTATGTATACTGCTATACTTTATTTTCTAATAAAAATATTTTGGGAAGAAAAAAAAAATATTGATTAAGGTTTTGCTCACATGTGCTTTGCTCTCTGAAGAGCATTCAGATTGCTCTTGAGAGAAAATTTAACAGACGGTGAGGGACATTGTAATCACTGTGTAGCACTACCACCTTAAGGGTTGCTTAATAATTATTTTGTCAGTCTAAACCTCTTGTTGCAAGCCCAACCTCTGCTGACACCACTGTGCTCCCATGACCAAAGTAAATCACAACTGTAAAATGGACTCACACACAAGTTAGTGTAAACCAATATGAAGTTTATATGGGAATCAAAGGTAACTTGGTCAAAAAGAGCAAAATGACACTGATATATGCAGCAAATATAACCACTCTTGGTAATTGTGAGCAAAAGTAATGACATTCACCATAAAGCAACAATAACTGTTAGCAGGCCTGCTTTTAGAAATAATCAAGAAACAGGTAATCTTGCTGTGGGTCCTCAGAAATAGATGACAAGGATTATATGTGAAGGAAAGAGAATTTTCATTTGAAATGGAACATTGTCCCTTTAAGAACACTACAATGTCTGCTGCACGCTTGTTGGGGCCCAGTTGGTATGAAGTCAAGTTGAGGTGTGGGTTATAGTTCCTTGGAATGGTAACACAAAGACAGCGAAGGCACAAGGGAGATTTATTACTTTCCCTCTTGATGGTAGTGAATTAGGGTGGGTCCCTTTAAAGCATTAAATATGGGGCAGGCTTGAAGTAATGAATAGCAACAGTTGGCAAAAAATGTCTATAGGCAAAGACAGCTCCCTCTGTACATCAAAGGCAAAAATAAACAGTAAAGAGAATCCTGCTTTGTTGAAGAAAGGAAACATGTTGTTTCAGTTGGCACTGCTATATTCTGTCCTGCAACTGTATGTCCTGCAGTTAGCTTGTACTATAAACTGTAATGTAGATGGATATCATTGATGGCGGCTGCGAGAACTAGGCCTCAGACAGAAGCAACTATATGTAATGTCCACAACTAGGTGTAGGTAGTTAGCTGAGGTGGCAAACTGTTAGTATTCACTTGGTTAGTGGATGCATGGGTCTCACTCTCCCGATCAAAGTCATCCAGCAGATCAAAGCGGTCTGCCTTTCTCTGCAAACAGAGTCAGTCCACAAACTCTCTGGCTCCGACTCGGCGTCATGTCTGGTCTTCTGCTGTCAGATTGGTCTGCTGGGCAACGCGGCAGACCTGGTGGTCAGTAGGCTCTTTCTGCTCTTCCTCTCTCTCTCCAACCCTGGCTCTGTGGCCTTAGTTCAGCACTTCAGCCATCAGCACACTTCCTTCTTCTTCAGTCTTTACCCACGCTCTCCTGGCTAATCTCTCAGGCTTTGATATTTATATGCCCCCGCCCACACGCTATTGTGGGAAATGTAGTCCTTGACTGCCCTGCTCACCAGCTAAGTACTGCTATACAGCATACAAGTTCTAGAGGGCTGTTCTGTCCAAGTGAGTGACCCTGAATAGCAGACCACTGCCATCTAATGTCCATTTTATTGTATTGTAAGTAAAAACATTTCAATGGGTTACAACTGGTTATGGAATGGAAAGGAAAACATTTTTCCAGGAAGGAAGGCTTTTGGAAACTATTGAAACCTATGCAGCTGAGACTGCTGCTGGCTTGGATGCAGATTCCTTTTAATTTAATAGTCTGCAAGCATGCCTAATGTTAGAGCATCTACAACAGCAATTGCTTCTTAATCCAGTAGTACCTGAATGTACACTATATTGCCAAAAGTATTGGGACACCCCCCAAAGCATTGGATTTGGGTGTTCCAATCACCTCCATGGCCACAGGTGTATAAAATCAAGCACTTAGGCATGTAGATTGCTTCTACAAACACTTGTGAAAGAATGGGTCGCTCTCAGGAGCACAGTGAATTAAAGCGTGGTACGTAATAGGTTGCCACCTGTGCAATAAGTGAAATTATCCTTGCTAGTAAATATTCCACAGTTAACTGTTAGTGGTATTATAACACAGTGGAAGCAACTGGAAACAACAGCCACTCAGCCACGAAGTGGTAGGTCACATAAAATGACAGAGTGGGGTCACCGCATGCTGCAGCACGCAGAAGTCCCCAACTGTCTACAGAGTCAATAGCTAAGACCTTCAAACTTCATGTGGCCTTCAGATCACACACACAACATCAGTACGTAGAGAGCTTTATGGAATGGGTTTCCACAGCTGAGCAGCTGCATCCAAGCTTTACATCACTAAGTGCAATGCAAAGTGACAGATGCAGCGGTGTAAAGCACCCCACCACTGGACTCTAAAACAGTGGAGACGTGTTCTCTGGAGTGACGAATCACACTTCACTGTCTGGCAATCTGATGGATGTGTCTGGGTTTGACGGTTGCCTGGAGAACGGTACTTGCCTGACTGCATTGTGCAAAGTGTTAAATTTGGTGAAGGGGGGATTATGGTGTGGTATTGTTTTCCAGGGGTTGGGCTTGGCCCCTTAGTTCCACTGAAGGGAACTCTTAAGGTGCCAGCATACCAAT